GTTTGGCACATTGTGGTCATCCTTGGGGAGTCAGGGGCCATCAGGTGGCTTTAGAAAACCAGTCCAGGATGGAGACACAACAGTTAAAAACTCCCTTGCCAATAGCTTCACGTATTTGCATTTGCTGTTAGCTTGGTAGTATTAATAAACTTAGGAAGGAAGAATGATGGAATACTTTGGCTGCAGTTCACCAACTAATTAAATCAGAGTACTTGGTGCCAAGCCAGTAGATTTTGTCCTTTAAAACAACTTGGGGGAACTGGCCAGTAGCATTTAGCACAAAGCCTGTTCATGGTGGTGAGAGCACAGTGTCATAACACATACTCTAGTGACAGCATGGCAACCATGCTGTTCGATCAATATATATACAATAATGATGTAAGGAGAATCCAATTGTAAGGTATTTTGTGAAGTGAACTCCCTGCCCCATTTTTTTATTGGCTATCGTCAAGTAAAATACAGTATATTGCCTACAAAGAGCTTTATTCACAGGTGAAATGAAAAGAAGGTAGAGTTGCAAAATAGGAAGGAAGGACAGCAGCATAACTTACAGTTGGCTGAAAGGAGAGCTTTAGGACAATGCAACTCTAGGTAAAGGTTCCCTTCACACATATGTGCTAGTCGTTTCTGGCTCTAGGGGATGGTGCTCATCTCCTTTTCAAAGCCGAAGAGCCATTGCTGTCCGAAGACATTTCCACGGTCATGTGGCTGGCATGACTAAATGCTGAAGGCACACATATCACTGTTATTTTCCCACCAAAGTGGTGCCTATTTTTCTACTTGCATTTTTACATGCTTTTGAACTGCTAGGTTGGCAGAAGCTGGGACAAGTAATGGGAGCTCACTCGTTACACTGTGCTAGGGATTCGAACCGCCGTACTGCCGACCTTTCTGATCGACAAGCTCAGCGTCTTAGCCACTGAGCCAATACTAGAGATAAACTTAAATACACTCATATAAAAGATAGTGTCTGTCAAGGAATATAATTCAATCTAACCCTCTGAATTCAACCTAATCATTGATACATACGCTGGAACACTTTGTCTTGAATCCTGTAATACAGGACCTCTTCCAATTGTTCCAAGTGTTTTATTTTTTTTCTTTGAGCTGGTCTTTTTGTCCCTGCCTCCCTACTCTGAGATTTAAGGCAAAACAGAGTAGCAATCGGGTGTGCTGGGAGGATGGGGCAATCATCTCCCTCCTATATAATTCAGCAAATGTAAACAAAAAAGGGGGGGGAAGCAGGACTTTGATTGGCTTCTTAATGTTTTGGCTTCCTATGCAGATAACCCTGATAACAATCCAGTTCTAAGGCAACTGATTACAAAACCAGATAGTGGAAATGGCTCTACTGTCCAATTGTTCAATTTGATTCTCAAAACCTGATTTGATTGTAAACTTTTAAGGTCCATGCTTCATTGAAACCATCCTAATTTGGGGCTCAGTGGTTGGAATCATGGATGATTTCAGGTTGATGACTATGAAACATTTTGTAAAATCAATTAACAAGGGAAAACAATTGAAAAATGGAAGGAAGAGGGTGGGGGTGAAACAGACCAGAAAACATGAGCATTCTTCCTGCTTCCTGTAATTTTCTCATCAACATGGAAGTTTTCAATTGTTTGTTTAGAATGTCTTTGTGTAATAATTTTGCTGCATTTTGGTACTTCCTGCTTTGCAGAATTTGGTCTAGATAATTATTAAACCTTTATTCAGAAGGCATCAAATAGTTCTGATTTCCTACTTGATGATAATGATGCTGTCTTCAAGCTATATCATTCATTGCTTTGCTCCAGATGTGATACTATCTTTGCTTTTATTTATTTCTGTGATTATTTAAAAGTATGAGCATTCTTACATTAAAGAAAAATCCAGAAGTATGATTTGGGGCTTGGTTTGCTTCTTTAAAATGTTTACTATTTTTGTACATATCAAAAACAAATGGAAAAACTACATAACAATATATCTTCAATCTTTTTTTCTAGTTGAAGTAGAGACACTTTACAACACTCTTTTCCACCATAAAACCCTTTTTAGTTGAAGTTGCGACACTATAACATTATTTTTCACTATATTTCTTAATATAAGGAATAATAATATTAACAATTGTTCATTAAATAAATCAGAAATTCAGAGGTTTTAATTCTACACAGATCTGTCCAAGTTCAGGGTGTACGATTTTTCTATCTTGGGAGAATTTGACCCATTCTTCCCAGAATGTGATTATTCCCAAGTATTTTATAATTTCCCATTCCTCACATAAACAAGTTTATGATTCAGATTATAATTATAATTCAGCCCTCCAGATATTGAGGGGCTCTGGAGCCATATCTAAGTTACATCTGAAAAAGTCTTTCTCATGATGCTGTTGTTGCAATCCTTCAACTTCTGGCACTCATAGGATATATTAAGGGAAAATAAAACATTTACTAGCCTGAAACTGGCATATTCATTTCTTTTTCATCCTGACAAGTGTCGAACAGAGTTCATGATCCAGTGGTTTCTCTGCCATGTTTTTTTTTTTTTCCTACTGGCTGCAGAGGATAATAATGTGGTTTGCAGCATACAAGTATTTGAGTGCTTTAAAATAGAAATTGGTTTCAGTTGTTTTACAGCTGTCTATAGAGCAAAGAAAGTAATTATATTGAAAATAGATATTAGAGTTTACTAATTTAGCATAAACTAGTAGCCTCTGTGATGCTGGAATTTCTTCTTTCCCTCTTTATAACCATGGTGGCGCAGTGGTTAGAATGCAGTACTGCTTCTTCTCCCTGCTGGCTGGCTGGCTGCAATTTGGCAGTTCAAATCTCACCAGGCTCAAGGTTCATTTAGCCTTCCATCCTTCTGAAGTCAGTAAAATGAGGACCCAGATTGTTCGGGACAATATGCTAACTCTGCAAACTGCTTAGAGAGAGCTGTAAAGTACTATGAAGTGGTGTATAAGTCTCAATGCTACTGCTATAAATTGAGGTAGAATTCATGGAGATGTCCCTTGTTTAGAGTATGATATGGCTGATGTGATTGTTTTTGGGCTGATGACTGGCCCTCAAGACCCATGACAAATCCTATTCAATACAATACAATGAATGGGAAAAAAAGCAGTACCCTTTCCTCCCTCCCCCCACAAAAAACCCCACAACTGAAGATAATATTTGGCGACTTCATTCTCTAAAAAAAACCTTCAAAACCAAATTGGCACAACTGAATGTATTAAAATTATTATCATAAAGTTTTGGATGAAATACATCGAAGTAATTGTATTCATTCAAATGATCAAAAAATAATGTTTTTCTGAATTGAAAGGATGTTTTATTTCATCTGTCTTTCATATGACAGTTTATTCATAATATTATCAGAAAATTATGAAATATGAACCACTAATATATTGGAAATGTCTTTTCTTTAGATTTTAGACAGTTCTGAACATCTTTTCTCAGTGCTCAAAAGAGTGCTTGAGAGGTTATGATGAGGACTTCTTTTTGAAGAGTACAGTTTGAAGAACCATTTGAAGAATAGACATTTAGAAAAAGATATGGATAATAATTACTGACTTATAGCCAAGCGTTCATTTATGAAATATGTCTAATCCATTGAGGGGGGGGAAGGGGTATAAGAAGATCAGTTTTGCAGTGAATTAGGTGGATGTCATAGAGAATATTGTGGAAAGGTTGTCATGTAAATGTTTGAGTCAAGATGTCAATCACTGAAATGAGTTCCTGCAGGGATATAATTGTAAAAGAAAAGAACTTAATGCTACCTTTACCCTTGCTGAGTACAAAATGCTTACCCAGAAAATTGAAAGTTCATTTATATTACTCTACTGGTAGCGAAAGGAAAATATGCTTTCTACCAAGATTTTGGAAAACATGTACTTATGCCAAGTTTTTGCATGATTTCTTGCATCATAATATTGGATGAATAATTACTTAGGTTTGGTATACTTGTGGATTTGCATTACTTTATTCCTTCGCCATTCATGAAAGGCATATCATTATATACAGTTAAAGCATTACATTAAGGCAGTGTGAAAGCTCTGTCTGTGTTTGAATGGACCATCAGTCAAGTCTCTGATTCATGTTTCAATCAGTGCTACACATTCATGTGTGAACCAGACCATGAATAGGAAGTCACATCTACAACACAGAGTCCCTTTCTGTTCATAAGAGCTGAATCTGAGATCACCAATGCAGCCCTTTGTTGCAATGATGTAGTTGGGCTTCTATAGAAATGTGAAGGCTTCAAACACTAATCAGAATACCTACTGTTCCTGTAGAAATACAAAATTAATTTTGGACTGTTTTCTTTGAAGCTATTGAATAGACAGCTACCCAATGGGTGAATGTTTCATCTCATTCCATTTCTCAGCACCTAGGACTTTTACCTTCTCTCTGGAAGACTTTACCTTGGTTTTCTCTTGCACACAGTAGCTATTTCTGGTTGCTTTACATTAGTTTACGTGAAATAGACTGTGCATGGGTATAACAGGCCAACTTGGGGTATCTTTCAAGCTGGAGATAGACTTAGTTTATGCACACAAACAACTGAATGTTGTACCACTTGAAATGCAACTATTTTAAACATCCCCTTCATACTGCAAATTATTTCAAATAATATTACATACAACTAATGTAATTCATGCTTTTTAGAGTATATTTTTCTATAAACAACATTTTCTTCAATAATTTTATTATGTTTTTTTCTGTAGACAACATTTATGAAATTGCATTGATAACTGCTGATATAAAAATAGCTTTCTATTACTGCCTCAAATTATTGCCTTTCAAAGAATATTACAAGGCTGCTTGCATGTATAACTCCTAATTAGTTAAGGCAAATATGAATTTGGAAAACAGCAAGCATCTGAGTATAGTAGTAATAGGTATCTGGTAATACCACTCTCTGATAATAATAATAATTTTTAAGAAATCAGTGTGTGTTCCAGGATTTGATTGTTTATTACAATGGGATTTGTGTTCTCAATTTCTGTGCTTTCTTTGTAGGATCATGCAGATAATCCATTGGGGGCAGCAGTAACTCTGGCTCATGAACTGGGCCACAATTTTGGTATGAACCATGATACACTGGAAAGAGGTTGCAACTGCAAAACAACTGCAGACAAAGGGGGCTGCATTATGAACCCTTCAACTGCGTAAGTGCAAATTGTATTTGTCTGTTTCTGTAGCTTTCCTTTTTAGGTGAGATGTATGCCTCTGCAAATTTTGTAAGAGGAATAAATCCCGTTTATAACAACTGGACATTAGTGCAGAGACCCTACATAATTTTTTAGAATAAAAATATTCTAAATTTTCAATTCTTGAAGAAAAGAAATATATATTGGTACTCTTCACACCTCCCAGAATCAATTAATGATGAATACCAAGGTATCATAGTCTGGTAGATCAATGGTAGTTTGGTAGATCAAAGGATGTAAGGAGTGTAGAGTACCTGCCCCTCAGTAAAGCTTTTGACAGATCTCTCATGATGTTCTCCATATTAAAATTGTAAAGAAGGGTACAGGTGATTGCAGAATGACTGCACTCAAAGTCTGCTAATTAATTTCAGCTTGAGAGAAGTACTGAGTGGAGCATCCCAGGACTCAGCCCTTTGCCCAGTGCTGTTGAGCAGCAGGGTTTGGATTGGGGGTTAAGGAGATGTATACCAAATTTACAGATGATACAAAACTGGGAAGGAGTGGCTAATACTTGAGAAGTGGTAGATTCCAAAAGATCTAGAGAGGTTTGAGCAGTGGGCTGAAATAAATAGGATGGATTTAATGAAGTCAAACAGGAAGTTCTGCATCTGGGTAAAAAAAAATAAAAGCCACAATTATATGGTGAGGAGAACTAGCTTAGCAACAGTAGATAGGAAAAGGACCTGGGAGTTCTTGTAGAATACCAATTAAACATGATCCAGTGATGTAGCTATTAAAAATTCAAATGCCATATTGGAGTACATTACTAGGAACACACAATTTAAGTCATCAGAACTGATCCAATTCTATCCCAGTCACAGCCCAATAGTATTCTATTGCTGGTTCAAATAGTTTTGTCCTCATCCTGAATGCAGTGCTTTTTTCTTTCACAGAATTTGTGGCTTATGTTGTTTGTTTGTTTCATTTTTTTCTATTGCATGCATTTATTGTTTGAAGCTGAAGGCCTGCAAAATCAAAATAAACTTCCCTGAGAGTAAAAAACATGTTTTAACTAATTAAATTAGTGTGCTCAATTTAAGGGAGTAGATTACTTTTATTTTTTGCTTTTAAGATAGTTCTGATCTTCTTTTTCATTATTTTTAAATGTGTGCATGCACATAAGCGTAAGCATTGCCCTTTAGTTAAAGATACTGCTGTCAATGTGGTTTTATTTATGAATATACATGGAATTTATTTTCTGCTCTGCTGCCTATTGTTTAAACAAAATCAGGTGGCGATGGTAATACAAGTGCTTGCTAATGATAGCCTAGTTTACCAATCATATCCAGATGTCAATTCTATTATAATTTCCTTTCTTTTTTTCACTTCTGGTTTGAAATAAATATTCTTTTTCCCCCCTCTTGTATTTCAAGTTATCTTCAGGAAGCTGAAAATGCTTAATTCTGAATCAGCCAGGACCAAGAATTTGTACTGCCATACTGAATATTTTAGCGGGGTTACTGGTTTGAATGTTATATCAGAATTTTTAAAGGAAATTTGGCTGATTTTATAAATGGACATTTTCATTAGCCTGGAATTAGCCCAGAAAAATCACCAGTTCATTTACCAGCCCTTCTAAACAAACAGATTTTTGCTAGATACCTGGGTTCTGATAGAAAAGATAACCTTAGATCTTTGAACAACTTTTATAGAGTTATTCTTATTTGTCACAAGCAACTGCTACAATTTGTTTTTATATTATGTAGGAGAAATGATGATTAAGGTTGGGAGATAAGATCTCCAAAATAATAACAATAATGAGATATATTTTCTTATGTAGTCCTCACTCATAATGAGGACCTCAAAGGAGTACCAGTGTTACTTCTTTTTTCCCCTCTCTCCAGAGACTTAAGACTTGTAGAAACTAAGTTTCACCAATACACATTTGCACATCTATCACACCTACCAGTATTTTTCTCATTTTGGATGCTGTTGCCTTATCCAATTCACACGGAGTCTCTTTATTATTTTGAGAACACTCTTTTATCATGAAAACTTTAGTTCCTGTATCTTGTTGAGATTTCTTCCATTTTTATTCTTCACATGAAATCTTCCTGAAGAAACCCTTCTGCCTTTCTGATGTCTTACTATACATACAAAGCTACAAGTTACCACTGCTCCATAGCAATATATTGGTTGGCATTTTATGCTAGTAGTAATAATATTAACATGCAAATACTGATACAAGGTCAGTATATTCTACCATTTGCATACATTTTTATATTATTAGTGTATCCAGATTGCATGATTGTAACAGGCATAATTAAGTTTCTTTATTTTGAACCTTCTTCTCATGAGACCTTTATAATTTCTGGAACATTACACTTTCACCATACCATCATATAAGTGCTTGCAAAAAGCTTAAACAAAGTATTAGGAAACCTTATTCAATAGAGAAACTTTGAAGTTGAACATGTCACTGTTAAGATTTCTCTGTTTGGTTCTCTATTAAATGATTTGTGGCTAGGGGGGAGGGAGCATGTCATGACACTTGTGTTATTTTATTTCAATAATGAATTTGAAAATGGGCCATTTGTAACCTTTGCCCGACACTAATTAGTTTACTGGCTTAGGAGAGACCATGCCTCCCAGTAGAACATAATTAAATTGCTTCAGCTCAACAATTTTGATCCAGTTTCTTGAAATTATTGAAAGAAGAGACAGCAAACGGGAAATAAATAAGTGTAGACCAGCAGTCCCCAACCTTTATGGTTTGGCGGCCTGGCTGGGCAAGGGGAGCGGGAAACTGGCCTGTGCAAGCAGTGGACCAGTGCCTGTGCACTGGCCCACAACTCACATGAGTTGAGCTGTGTGCATGTGTGCATAAGACAGCCACTTGAGTAGCCTACAGCCATGGCCCAGCACTTGGTCACAGCCCTGGGGTTGTGGACCCTTGGTGTAGATTACAAATTTACATGAGATTCAGCAAATAGCCTCATGGAAACAACTCAGATGCTTGCTTAAACTCCTGCTGCACTTGACTAGATGTTTTGGGGGATTAAGGAGTATACGCAGGGGCAGAATAAATGCTGAGAAACTGACTAACACTCATTGCTTTGTCCAGTAATTATGTCATCTCACCCTGTCCAGAAAAAAAATAAAGATGAGCTGAAATAATAGGAAGCATTCTAGTAGGCTATTTAGGATGAAAGACACCAACAGGTTAAATTTGCTTTCTGATACACAAGTATGTTATGATTGGCCACAGCATTGTTCTGTAACTCCCACCACTGACACAAGTCTTGGTCAAGCCAAAGTTTGAATACAAATAAAGAGATCAGATAAGCGTTTTGGGAATCATGTAAGTTAGCCTTTATAAGAATTGTATTCACAATAAAACTTTTCTTGGAAAATAATTACTTTTGGTTTTAGGCGGCTGTCAAAGAACCTGACACCTTCCTTATTAGGGCTGTGCAGCCAGTGGTGGTATGCTACTGGTTTGGACCGGTTCAGCCGAACTAGTAGTAAAAAAAAGCTGACAATCAGCTGAGAGGAAGAAAAAAAATCCTTCTCAGCTGAGAGGTAAACAAAGAGAAAAGTGCAAGATCGGCCCTCCGACCCACCCCTGCGCTTTTCTCTTTTTTATCCTCTCAGCTGATTAGCCCTGCAGGTCTCCACTGGTATGGGGAAAGCTGCACGCCGGCATTAGGCAAAGCACGCCTGCCAAGCCATGCCTGCCAAGCCATGCCCACTAAGCCACACCCACCAAACTGGTGGTAAAACAATTTGAATCCCACCACTGTGTGCAGCACTTCAGATTTGATTCCAGAAAGATACTTTAGAGAAGGGCTCTCCAACCTTGGCAACTTAAAGACTTGTGGACTTCAGGTTCGCTGGCTGAGGAATTCTGGGAGTTGAAGTCCACAAGTCTTAAAGTTGCCAAGGTTGGAGACCCCTATTATATGCCATACAGAGTCATGTGGGCAAGATGGATGATGATAATAAAAGATTATCTGTAGCTCAGGGTTGGACTGTAGAGTTCTTGGTCCTTTCTGAGCATGGTTATTGAGTTGGAGACGTTTCATTATTCAACTAGGTAACATCATCAGTGCAAAGGTTCATATGTTTCTTTTTTCTATGAGAAGGGTTATTTTTTATCTTGGGATGTTTTGGATTATATGTCATGGATATCTGTAAATTTAATCCTTCTATGCCAGGGGTCTCCAACCTTGGCAACTTTAAGACTTGTGGACTTCAACTCCCAGCATTGGCTGAGGAATTCTGGGAGTTGAAGTCCACAAGTCTTAAAGTTGCCAAGGTTGGAGACCCCTGCTTTAGAGCATTTGTAGAGGTAAGCAAAACTTTGTGCTTGCCTCTCTGCCACACTTGCAGAATCTAGACCAGTTCAGACTAGACTAGACCAGTTCAGTTTATATGTGCATATTGCTATTCTAAATATATATTTTTAGTCCCTTGCTTTGTTTGTTCCCTAATTTCTTCCAGCAGTCTTTTTATAGACTTGTGTCTATGATCCTACAATGTCTCCATTTTCTTTCTTCAATGGCCTTTTTAAGGCTTCTTTATTCCCATGCCATCCTTTGGACTTGAGGTTTTCATCTTTTTATTCATCCTAAATGCCTCTTTTCAAAGCCTCCTTGAATATGGTTCATGTCTCACAGTTACAAAGAAGAATTCACCAGATGTTCTAATTAGTCATTCTTACTCTTAATTTTAAGTCAATTTTCCTTGAGGTCAGATTATTCTTCGTGCTTAGAAAGGTTTTCCTTTCTAAGGATATTCCTGGCAATTTCTATGTTCTTCTTTATTTCATCAGCTGTCTTTCTATCTTCTGGGAACAACTGTCCAAGATAGGTACACTTCTTGAGTTATTTAAACATGCCATTATAGACCATTGATTTAAATTTTGGAGATTTTTTTCCCTTTAAAAAAATATTTATTGATGACCCAAAGTTTTCTCTTGCTATATTCTCAATTAGAAACTCCTGGTTCTTTTTTTT